GTTTGTGTTTGGGGGTGCGTTTGTGTGACCTCCTGCCCACAAAAGGGTCATAAAGGCAGGAAGTTTACCAAGCAAGAAAACAGAACCTTCACATAGGATGTCCCATAATAAAACACTCCAGCCCCCCCCCCTCCCCCCCCAACAGACTGGGGAGGGAGTCAGACACAAAGGAATGTCTTTGATCAGACAGTGTGAACCAAGACTTACAAATTTAAGTAACAAAATGACAACATTTAACAATTTGACTCAAACAGTCTGTCTCCCAAACAGACAATCTAAGCAACAAATAAGCTCTTTCTTTTAGTTCTTCACACTTAACATTGAAACTATATTCAAAAGAGTAACTGAGTAAATAAATCAAACCACAGATTACTTTTAGTACAACAAACCCTGAAGTCAGAGCGACAGTATGTTTTTTTATTAATAGTAGTTTATTACTAGTGTCTGTGTTAGCCCTTTGACAACCTATGACATCAAATTGTAGTCGAATTAATATTACACATCCTTTCACAACAGCCAACAGCGCATTCTTGTTTAAAAAAGATGAAGTGACTCCAGGGGTTTTAGACAACGAGCTTTCTCAGTGACAGAAGACGCCTAAATTCATTCTGTTCTGTGTTTTCACAAACAGTCTGCACAGGATGAAGCTGATAAAGACAAAGAGCTAGTCCCTCAGCTCAAACCTCCACGACAGCCACCAGAGGTCAAACACAAATCCCAGATGTGCACTGCTGCACATCTGGCTATATCCACCTCTGCCCCTGCTGCAGTGTCAGCACAAAGACAAGAGGAGGAAGAGGAAGAGGAAGAGGAGAAAGTCTTGAAAGAACTGCAGGTATGCTAAATAAATAGTTATTTTTAAGATAAAATGTTTAATCTGAAGAAAACACCAGGTTGTTAATACTGAGATGAGCATGTGGAAAGCTAAATGTAACAGTTAAAAATCCAGGTTTGTGTTTTAGTTTAGCCCTGAGTGGACTAAACATGCTTCTGCTTTGACGAATAATCTCAGGATTTTCTCTGCTTTTAACTGACAAAAGCTGAACTTTACTGGTTTTCCTGTTAATAATGAATTTGTCATGACAAACAAACATTAAACCTGTTTCAGAAAAATACATTTCCAGTGAGCATCACTGGACACTATTCTGCTGTATTTGCTGTAAGATACTGATTTTTGTAGTTAGAGATGGACACTGTGTAAACTCAATGTCAGCAGAGGCATATTCCTGAACATACGGGGTGGCTGTAGCTCAGGAGGTAGAGCAGATCGTTTACTGTGGTTCAGTCCCTGACTCCTCTGATGCATCCCTCCAAGTGTGAATGTTAGCTTGAAAGCACTTAAGCCTAAAAACGTGCTTGTATGAATGGGTCAGTGAGGCATGTTGTCTAAAGTGTTTTCAGTGCTCAGGTAGAGTAAAAGCTCTTTATAAGAACCAGAATCCATTTACTTTACCATTTGCCATTATGTGCAGTGTGAAATATCCAACACGTTCTCACTCCCAAAGCGTCACATTTTACGCTAGGTGACAAATCGTCAACATATTACGTTTTCGGCTACCCACCACGTTCCTAAATGACGACCTCAGAAAAATGAGGAAATATGAGAACCGTATGGACTCAATCTACTCATGTTTGCTCTTTTTCTTCAAATCACTTAGAAACACGCTATGTAACATCGTTAAAGTCCTGGTTAAGGTCAGGAAAAAGGTTATGGTTAGGGCTAGAAATAAGGTTAGGTTTAGGGCTGGAATACAGGGCTGGAACGACTATTACCGCGGAAGCGTCATTGCACTGGATTTCGCCCATAACCCGCCACGTACCATAAGAACGCCGAAGGTCTCCTTTCGCGTTCCTCAGGAACGCCGTGGGACGTGACAAAACGTCGCCATGTTACGCCTCGGGAGTGAGAACGGGCTCCAAATATCGCCATGTTGCAATATAGAGGTTGACCTTTATGTGTTTTTTGTTAGCTCTGGTTTAACTCATCTGGAAGTTTGTTACAGTCTCATGTAATTCTGTTTAAATCGTGGCTGAAATGAACTGTTTGCATTATATTCATGTCACTTTGATTTTTTAATTTCCCATTACAGAAACAAGAAGAAAAAAAGATTACAGTGAGGAATTTTAGTTTTTCTTAGCCCATATGAGAAGGTTCCTTTCTTCATGAACCTGCTGCCCGTGCTGTTCGTGCTCTGTACCTTTTTGGACAAATAAACTGTAGCTGTTCACGTTCTTTGACTCTTCAAATAATTCATTTCCTTTTAAACTGGGATCAAACTTTGTTTCACCCTTAAACCATTTATTGCTAAACACAGAGTTGTGGGTTTTTTCATATCAGTTTATGGGTTAAATATGGTGGTGGCAGCACCATGCATGCAATAGAGAATTGGATGATCTGATATCGTCGTGTTGGTGTTGTTCCCAGATCATCATGAAAATGTTGTTCCAGGTTCAACATTGCAAGTGACCAATCACATTATTGTGACGTTATTCTTTTGCGCACCAACCCATTCGTGCATTTATGAAATTCCAATGTTGCAAGGACAATATCA